CCTAAAATCGTCTATATTAATGACTAAACCATACAATCTTTGTAAATATAACATTTTTTTTCTTTCTTATTAATTTGGAAATCTTTTTCCAGGATTAAAACATACGCATTAATATGTGCAATGAGGTGGAATCTATGCTGAGAACGACAAAAATCTTCGCAATTGAGATCTTTACCACTTCTTAGTCCAATATGGCGCTCCGGAGCTGTCACGTCGTAACAATATTTGCTTCAGATAAAAGCTGTGCATTCTGTACTTACGAAATAGTAGTCCACAAATTAATATAATAATTTGGATAAAAAAACAGAATAGAGTTCTTAAAATTGGAGTTATACGTCTAATTAAAGCGTAATTGTTATACGAAAATTTATGTGGATGTGTGGCGTGCGTAAGCGAGATATTGATATAGTGATGTGTCAACGACACGTAAAAGTCGTCTGTGCGTAAGTGCTAATTTCAATATGACTAATTGTTTTTACGATTCCTTTCCAACGCAACATGCATGACATGCTCGAGAGTGTGTGCGCATGAGCCCAGTTTCACGCGAGTTTCGTCGCGTACACATTCATCCCGATTCGGGGATACAGGAAGCTCAGCCGGCACTCTAATTCCATAGAGTATCCCCAGGGAGCGGCGCGACTGCGATGAAAATGGATTACCCAACACCGCCGCCGATCCACAGCTGTCTTATTCCTTATTCAAAATAATACGAAGCACACACAGGTATCAGGAGACATGGCAGTGTCTCGGCGCTAAGATAAGCGAATATCTCTCATAGCACGAGAGCCACCAGCCGTGTTCCTTTACACGAGCCGGCGAGTTGCGGGGGAACCAAGGTTATCAAATCTCAATAACGGCTGAAAACCGATCAAATTCTATGTATTCTCAATAGATTCCATTCGGATTGTGTAATAAAAGTGCTTTTATTTTTTTTTTCTACGTATCCTGCATGCGGAGATATTATAAAGTTCGGATTACTTTTTAAGTTACGTCGTCGTCATCGTGATTATCATGTTCGTCGTTGCCCAGCCAGAATTGGAGGGATATGTCACTTATTTAAACGATTTCGATCGCTAAGACATTTAGTGAACGAATTGAAAATAAGTTAGCCAAGACCGCATAACCGTAAGTTAAACGTAATAAGCATGTGTAATGTAAAATAAATGAATCGTGGGATTATTTTTACCTCAACCTTAGGAGGATTAAATAAGCACGAAAGATTCAGTTAAGACCATAAAAGCATTAAAGGCATTAAATAATATAATGTTGAAAATGACGGGTTGTATTTTGGGATGCAAAAACAAAAGCGAGGAAAGATATGAAGCGCTTTTCATTAGACCCAATTAATTACTTAACTCTACCATAAGCGTATGTATATTTATGTTGTTTTACATTACTAATGTTAATTATTGGGTCATTTAAAAAGTATCTGCGGTTTTTTCATTCAAAAATTGAACAAAAAACCGCGGATACTTTTTAAATGATCTAATATAATTTTATTGGAAGAGAAAATATCTTTGAATGAATTGTGATATAATAATTTCTTTTAAGAAGAATTAAAACCATTTGGATTGAAATAGAAAGATCCTTCAATAAAAATATAGATATATACTGAGGTTTCATTGTATAAAAATTAAAGATCACATCACTTATTTATTATGTAGAATTTAACTTAGCGCCATTTGATACCAAATTTTTTATACAAATGATACGTATTATTAGAGTTAAGTAAATGATAAAGATAGTACCACTTAGGTTTTACTGTTTAATTTAATAGAATTTAACTTGGTCAGCTTAAGACAGTAGCATTTGGAATTTAATTTTTAATTTAGTACAATAGTTTTTTTCGATGAGTATAATTTTTGATGGAAAATTAAAGCTGCCATTACTTGGATTGGAATACGAAGATCTTCAATAAGAATATTTTTGAAAAGAATTGAAAGTACTATTATTTGAGTTGGAATAATAAAAAAATAGTAAAAAGACAACGTATCACTTAAGTTTTCATCATATTATTATACAATCATATTATTAAACAACTAGTTTTTCTCAAGGAATACACAAAACGCAAGTCTCAACCAGGAGATCATCATTCCGACGCGCCTGAACTTTTGGCCGCGATAATTGGCATAGTTTTTGTTAATCAAAACTGTAAAAAAGCGCTGCCTAAACGGTGTAATAATTTTCATCCACCACGCGTTACAGACAATCGTTAAAATCGATGAGGTCGTATTCGTGAGGAGATCGAAATTCATCACAAGGAAGAAGTAAGAACGCGCGAGCGTGCTCGGGAGATAAATGGTAACAGGTGGTATCCGAGCGTACCAAGTGTAATAAGTTTTCACGTAGACTAAATGCGAACCTATAGTTACGGTCCGGCTTTTACGGCCCACTATTTTTCATTGCCACTTTTCCTCTCGTTTGCCGAAGTCTCAAAGTACAATGCGATGAAGGTTATTATTTCCTTTCTTGTTCTCGTTAAATTACGCGTTTCTTTATTTTTGCACTGTATTTGTCTCTGCTTTTTATTTCTGTAAGAAAATTGTAGAACAGTCGAGTAGAGATCGATAAGAAAAGTCTCATTATAATAAAATTATTTCGGATACTTTTAAATTAATGTAAATGTTGATTTTTCTGATTGAAACAATTTTCATCATTTACTCTTATAAGAAGATTGACAAATAAATGTGTAAATTTGGAAGTAAAATCTGTAAAAAAAACTTAGCTATACCTTTTTTTAAAATAAAAGTTTTCCTATACATAATCTCCCTTATCGTCTTTGCCTGCAAGAGATTATGGCAATTTTACTTGGGAGACAAAGCGCTTATTCCAATCCCAACGCCTAGAAAAGTTAGTCCCCACGAAAGGACTTTTTTAATTAAAGTTAGAAATAAAGGTGTCGAGAAAACGAAATGCCACATCTAAAGCTTCCGCCAAGACGGGACTTGGTCCATAATCTTTTTGGCTTATGAAACTATTCTCCAAAATCCACTCAAGCGCCAGTCATCCGACTTTCCATTATTCGTTCTTGTATATGTCTAACATTTTTGGCATGTACAATTTAATGTATTATCTTGGATTGCATAATGATGACTTTAAAAGTACAGATACAATAGAAAGAATAAGAAATAACGATATCAGCTAGTATAGAAACTGTATTTCGATGTATCCGATTTCTAATAAGTTGAAATTCCTTATTCCTTATTCTTTCTATTGTCTTAAAACTTTATTTAAAGTAGTTTAATAATTTTAGAGTTTAAAAGTTACAGATATATTAGAAAATTTTACACATTTTTTTCTGTTTTTAATTACATTTTTTTTTAAATACAATATATAAAAAGAAATACTTATATACTTAAATGTAACTACGAATATGCTTAAATTATATAATAATTTATATTTGCATATAATATTAATTGTATATAATAATTCTCTCTCTCTCTCTCTCTCTCTCTCTCTCTCTTATATTCGAATATAATTTATATTTACATTTAGACGTATCGCTTTCTAGCTTCACAAGTGACAATTATAAAAATGTAACTTTCCAGTACTATTACTACAAGTTATTATTACTACGAATATGTTAAGTATTATCTTTTTTCAATCATCAAAATAATCTGGCTTAATTTCATAAAAAATATTAACGTCAAAACCATTATGTTTCAAAATAAGATGGGTTTTTCAGATAATATTTATGAAACAAAAATAACAAAAATCACATTTGATCATGCTACGAATACATGTTTTTTGATGATTATTTAATCAGCCAGTTATTTTTCTATCAAATTGAAAAACAATTTTTCCCTTTTTTTTGAAGAATTTAATTTTTTAAGATAATATTTTTTGAGCCGAGGTAATATTTTTCGCAATAAGATTATTTATATAATATTTTAATATGTTATTCAGTATCATATAAGATCTTTTTAAGAGATCTTACATCATAATGCTTGTGTCTTATGCCTATTAGTATCAAATTATTGAATTACTAATTAATTTAAGAATGCTGGACTGAACGCGGCCAAACTTGATTGATGTCGATAGTACAGAATTTTTTTAATTCCAAATAAAAAAAAGTCGATAATAGTGACGTCTTTAATTCATTCTTTTCTTTATCTAACATATTGCAACGCCATCTCTTGCAAACTCGAGCATCTACTGCTAGACATAATTACTGCTTTGTTTACCATAATAATGTTTCTGAGTTTCGCTCAGCATTTATATACATTTTATTTGCAGATCGATATAAATCTTTTTTTAAGCTTTTAATCTTAGTTCTGTAAATTCATCACTATTGTTTGTGCACGTAATATCCCAGGTGCTGCACTGTCGTTTTGTCCATACGAGCTATAAAACTTTTATATTAAGGAAACATTTACATCAGGTGACAGTTCTACGAGTTGCAAAAATGTAAATTTTTAACTTTTTTTTTTTAATTTAGTATAAAGTCCACTGCAGCATCTCCCAATTTTACTTCTACTTTAATCCTGTAAAAGAATTTTTTATTTCATTCAGCAAATTTGGAAATTTTTATCTATCTGCAATATCTCGACAATTTGATCCCAATTCCAACATCCCGTTAATAATTTGTAATATTATTATTATTATATTTCAATTAAGTTTCAAGACTGAAAAATCAATTCGGCGCGCAAATAACTATATGTAGTATATAAATTCACATCAAATTATTTAAGCACAGATCCAGCTTGACCGTTTAAAAGCCGTGTTATTTATTCCCTACTTGTTGTGTAATTATACGTACGATCCTAAGAAATTTTTTAATGTTGTTAATTTTTTAAGTTGTGTCACTCTTGAAATAAAAGAGCAATATGTATACAAAAATATACAAGAATGTACAAGTTTAAAGAGTAAGAAAATGTGTTCTGTAAACATTATCCTTGGATTTAGTCTAGGGCGTAGATCTAAATCCAAAGTTAAATCCTTCGAATATCGACGATCTCTCTCTACCACATGCTCACAATCCTTATCATTTGTCTTTGCAGAGGCTTATGTGAATCTGGGAGCCGCGTTGATTTCGGTTGGACGGGGCACTGATGCAGCTGCGGTTTTGCGCGCCGGTGCATCCTTGGATGGCTCCGGTTTGAAGGACAAAAGGGCTCACGAGGCGGCCAGGGTGCAGGCCCTCCTTCAATTAGGCGCGCTGTATGCCGATCAGGGTAGATTACAAAGAGCTCTGTCGGCATATAGGGAAGCCCTGCGTGCCCTACCGGATCACTATCCACCTCAGGTTAGTAGCGCGCGTCGCTTCCTCTTCATTACATTGCTAAAGCGGAATAACTTGATGCGCGAGGGAACTATGAATACTTGAAGCGCGTTAAGAGCCTTCTCCGAGGTTGCGTCTCCGTTTGGCTTCAAGCGATTTATATAGTTTCTCTCCCTGTTCGTTTCCTTTTGAATAGAATTTGTCCTTTCTTTCACCCGCCCACTATCTATCTTTCGAAAATTAGGACTTATAAAATTCATATTGTGATTATCGATTTATGTCTATACGACTTGCGTATTGATAATATTTAGTTGCATCTTTATGCTAGATAATCCAGATACATTTATTGAGAATATCAGTAAATGGAATTGAATTTAAACAACAATTACTTCATTCGATGTTAACTGAAACTGACTGAAAGATGAGGTTTACAAATTTATCTCATCTTTTGACAAGAAGTATCATTGTGAAGGTTGTCCCCTTTGCAGACACGATAGCTAACGGCGAAAACGATTATCACGATCGTTCTAACTCTCTCGTCGATTGCAGTTGGTCGATTAACAAACCAGGAACGCGGTAAACCACTCCGAACGATACACCGAAAGCAGTCTACAAGAAAGTAATCAACTCGAAACAGATTTCTGATGTATTCGTCGACCCTTCGATTGCTAATTGCTTTCCAAGATTATTACTACCTTCAATTCGCCCGAAGCAATTCTGCGTTCTCTACTCAAATATCGTTTATTCCACGCAGGATACACTCTTTGACTCGCTCGTGACTTGATCATGGTCGTGCATGGTAATCAAAAAGAATAGAGGAAAGCATTACTTTCATGATGTAGAAAATATTACAAAATAATTCGGAAACGTTAGATATAATTCTACATTTAATTTTTTATGTGTATTAAGGGAATGCTGGAACGACGGCAATACAGACTTTTTAACTTCAAATTTAGTTTTTTTACATTATTGTTCTGTCTTACTTAAATGTATACAACTATCCTCATTTAACATATTGCAACACCATCTCTTGCAAGATTCGGTACTTACACTACTGACAAATACTGCTCTGTTTTACTCTTTCACCGATTCATTCGTAGCATACAAATGAAATTTCAGATTCTTCTTTCTTTTATATTAAAGCCTCTAGCTTATTTCTACAAGCATAATATTGTATCTTTCGTGTAATTTCTAATACGATCTAAGCTTATTTCAAACGTACAAAGTCTAAAACTCTTATACAAGTATGCAGCACATGTTGTCACGAGTCGACTGCAGAATCCACACAGCAGAAACATCCCGAATATATCATACGGATATACCACAGACGTTGCGATATCTTTAGGTTATTCCTATAATATAACTTGGACATTTTTGCCGTATGGGAAGCCGATAATAAAATTATAATTTTTTTATTTTTTATTTTTTTTCATTTTTTGTATGAAATTGTCTGCGCACTATTTTTATCTATACTCTGAGGATTTTTTAATTTGGATGAATGCAATTAAAATTCTTAAAATCTGTTTTACTGATTGAATACAATAATCTTTGTAGAACGATATCGCATGTTATAAGTATTACTTTTACAGATTTGAAAATTTTTTTCCAGAATTAAAATATATGCATTAATGTATACGTGTCTGCCGAGAACGACACAAATTTTTGAAATTGTAATCTTTTTTATCATTCGTTAATCTAAAATGGCGCCTAAACTATCAAATCGTAACATTTATTTGATACAAAAGCTTTGCATTCTATACTTAGAAAATTGGAGGCTATAAATTAGCCACCAACTAGTAGATTGCTTGAAGAAACAATGTTCTTGAAATTAGACTTACAGATTAGACTTAAGATGTCTAATTAAAACGATATCGTTATATGAAAATTTATATTCATGTGCGCGTGCGACATTGATGTACTAGTATATAAAGATGTGTCACATTTTGTCGGTAAAACAGCGATTCTTTTGGGACTCTTTACTTTAGGATCCCTTTAAAAGATTGGTGCATTTGAAAACTAATCACATTTCATCGGTAAAACAGAATAAACTCCAGCATTAAAATCTCCTCAATTAAAAGATCAATAGCAGTTTAATAATTTCATCAAATAAACGGTATATCAATAATAAATAGTAAGAATAGAGGAAAGTATATTTACATATAGAACACATTAGATATAACTTTACATTTAATTTTTATGCATATTAACTAAAATAAAACATTAATAGCAATTTAGCAATTTCAGAAATGTAAACAGTGTATGATAGTGAAGATTATTTAAAACAATATGAGTGAAAAAAAGAGACGAGCGAAAGGAAGAATGGAAGGTTCGAAATGATAAAAATATCGATATTTCCGAACCACCGAATACGTGAGTGATATTGTATTCTCGGTAACTGTACTCAGAGTAACCAGAGCCGCTTTCCTGATTCCTCCTCCTTCCCCTCGAAAAATCAGGAAAATGTCCTTCACGGTCCACTTACCCTCCCTCCTCTTTTTTTTCACTTTCTTTTTTTTTCTCCTCCATCTCCAAAGCAAGCCACGACCACCCGCGTTGCAACGACGTACAGAGCGAACTTTCCGTGAGTTTCTCTCATAGGGTGGCTTTACTGCCGTCGTCTGACTTTCCTTTCGCCTCTTTTTCCCTCTCTCCCTCCCGCACGTGCACGCTCTCGCGCCCGGTTACCGGTCTTTTTCCTTCTTTTCCGTTTTCACAATCCACGTCCAACTTTTTGGACGTGGCGCAGGCGAAGCGACAACATTGGATCGCGCAACGACTGGCCCGACTCCTCTCACATCGCACCCGGCATCAACGCGACGCGACGCGACGCCGAAGCGAGAAGTTTGCATTTTTACGAGACGCTCCGTATTCTCCGGTGTTCCGTTGAAACCGAGCGACCGACCAACCGACCGACCAACCGACCAACCAACCAACCGACCAGCCAACCAACCTTCCTTCCTTTTCCATTCTTCCTTCGCTTATACATGTTACATAGCGTAGCAAGCGTTTTGTTCGGAGCATCGCCGTGGAATTCCTGCGCGACAATTTATTCGGAAAGTATTTTTCGCCTTTCCACTCACTCGCGCCGTCGCGTCGTAGGTACATACACATGTGGATATACACATGAGCTCGTGTGCACGTATGTATGTATATGCGGGGGCGCATATGCACTAAGAAACTGCAAGACTTCGGACGTACAGAAATTTCACGGATATTTCGCGGATATACGTTGACTATCCTGCACGCTATGAACCTGATCGTTACGTGTCGAGATAAAATTGTCTGAGCCCTCGTCTCCTCGCCCGAGAGAGCCGTAAGCACAATTTTATGTTCAGCATTAACTAATACGAATAACGCGACAGATTTCTATGACAGAGATATGTTATTATACATACCAAAATCTACGACCATGCATATCTATTCATTCGAAAAACTAATAAATCTATAATAAATCTAATCAATTTAATAATGCCGTAAAGAATATTTTTTTTTACTATACTATATGTATAGAGTGCATTTGTTTCTTTTGCTTCAGGTGAAAAATGTTCCCATACAGCACAGAAATATTGCAGCAACATTGCAAAAATATTTCATTGCAAGATTTGCAGCAACGTAAAAATGTCCGTTTTAAAAATATTTATACGTAATATTGCGGCAATATTACAATATAATATATATGCAATATTAGGTTTTGCGCACAGTGGAAGAATATTTGCAGTATTATTGCAGAAACATTGTAATAATGCAGCAACATTGCTGTAATATTACGTTACTGCAATATTTATTATAAGATTTTGTACTACATAAATTTCAATATAAAAAATCAGAAGTAGGAGTTAAATGTAACATACAATGAATACAAATAAAATATGACTTCATAATTAATTATGTCTTTATATTTTATTTTAGGCGTGTTCAGATATGACACTGCCAGTACTGAAAATCTACAGTATACGTGAACTATAAATTTTCAATACTGGCTGTACATATTGGAACACGCCTATAAAATATAAAGACTGATTATGAAGTCATATTTTATTTGTATTCATTGTATGTTACATTTAACTCCTACTTCTAATTTTTTATATTATACGTCTTATATCTTATTATTGTGTCCATTGTACATTATATTTAATTCTTACTTTTAATTGTTTTTAGTCTATAAATTATAGGCACACAATTCTTATAAATTATAGACATTGATGTTTACACCTTATGCCCGTTTCCACTAATATAGATTAACTTTAATCTCGGTTCAATTTACTCTTCGTCTTTTTCTAATCTTTAGAACTAGAAAAAGACGAAGATAAATTTTCCTGCATTTTTAAAATTAAATTTATTGAAATGTATAACCGAGCAATTGTACTGCTATTAAAATAAGAGCGCAAAATAATAACTGATCTCGGCAGTTGCGTTACTAACTGAATTGACATGAAAGCGATGTTTGTCGACCGTGAATGACGTAACAGTTGCAACATCTAAGTATGTATAATTCTATGTATGTGTCAAACGCAAAATGTACCCATAGTCATCCAGGCATGAACGTAATTGAACGAATTGCGCGCGTACACGCCTGCGAAAATTTAGAAGGAACGTAGGAAGGAGGTAACCGCGCAATTAAAACGCGTATTTAACTTGAATGAAGCATTTCAGCGTGCAACGTCGCGACATCGTTGAATAATGCGCCTTAGAAAGCGTCCGCGAAACAAGAAACGGTACCGAGGTATCGTTAGAGAAATAGTTCCATCCGCGCGCGCGAAATTAGAATCGTTCATCTTAATATTTCGCTTTATTCGCTCGACATAATTCCCATTCGAGTCTCATGATTGGCAATCGCGATAAAATAGGAACAAGAAAGATCGCCCTGATATTGGCATGTTTCCACGCCAAACTTTTCCTCGCCATGCAGTTATTCGCGCCCCGCCGTCGTGTCCCGCGTTCACCTAATTGATTAAACCCACTCCTTTCACCTCTCCCCCTCCTTCTTCCCCGCCCCCTTTCTCTCCCCCTTTCTGTTACACCGG